AACGCTTAAACTTCAGCACTCGCTTTTTCGGCGAGCTGGCTCGTCTTTTGCCCGTTGAAATACAGGAAAAGACTCGTTGGCCTTGAAAATATTTAATAATGCCGTCAGCAACGCGATTAATCGCGCTATTATTAATACTAATGATAATACCAGCGTTGCTAATGATAACAATGCGTTCGAGTGAGGAGGAATCGGTATCTGCACCTCGTGCCTGCCCGGCTGGTACCTGGTTTGCAGCTGGGAGGTGAAGCCCGGGCAGGAGGAGAGAGGAAAACTTGGCTTCGCCCTCCCAGTAAAAAATATTTCTCCGGGAAAGTCGAACTTTTCCCGACTGGCAGAGCAGGAGCCCCCGCCGAGGGTGGAACCGCTCGGAGCAGGGGACGCCCTGACATCCTCCTGCCCTTTGAATCAACCTCTGTTTTCTTTTCTCTCGGCGTGGAACAGCCACGGAGGTTTTGCCGTGGCAGCCACAGGATTAAAAACACTGAATATTCTGGCCCCCGTGATTTCCTCCCCTCCTTGTGCAGGATGTTACGGTGACATTTTTTCTCTTTCCTCTCGTTTAACTCGCGCCCAGACACACTCACACACACTCACACACTCACACAAAAAGAAAGTCCTGTTCTATTGTGCTGGGCAGAGATCCAGAACAAACTGCAACCGTGAGGTGAATGATTGGAGGGAATTAAATCTCCAGGTCCTGTGCTCAATGTCCCTGAAATTGAATATAGAAAAATCTTGTCCAAGAAGATGTTATTAAGTTATAAGTGAGTGCAGGGACCCGCGCGAGGAGGATGCTGTGTGGTTTCCAGGGCGTGCGGTTACGGCGCATATTTTGTTTTAAATAATAGTTTAATTTGGGCTGATGGGGAGAGCCTGCCAGGGCTGGAAGACGAAGCTGTTTTGCAGAAAGTCCTCCCTCCGATTTCCCTGACTCTTGCCGTTTTTGAAAGTATTTCTTCATAATGGATCTCTGCCCTGTGTATGGCGCAGGAATCTCTTAAATTACTTGCTGGATTTTAAGGAAAAGACGTGCCAGAACCGCTTCCCATTCGCTTTCCTGTTTAGGGATTTGTGTCTAGTGAGTAGATAAAGCAACGCTGGCATTTAAAATGTATTTTAACGATCCAAAACATGACCAAAAAAAATAAACCCAAACCGAATAAAAACCTGTTATGAAGCACGGCCCTCCATCGCCATTAAAGGATGGGTAGCAGGATTAACAGTATCAATTATTAACAGCTTTCTTCCTCTTTAATATTTAATTCTGCATATTAGATCAAGTCAATTACATTAAGGAAATAGCCGTGCAAATTTGTAAGAGGCAGTACTTACAGGGCAAGATTAACCGGATTATTTTTTTTTTTTAAAATATTCAATATATTTCATTTTACGTGGAGGAAACGTTGCAATGGCGTGTGCGTGTGTGTGTGTATTTATAATGGTCCATTTAATTGGTGTAAAGGTTTATGGTTTCAGTCATAATTTCGGAGGAGGCAAAGGAAATAAAATAGAAATACGCGGTGTGTCCATAACCCTTCGTTTTACCCTTTCCCGCCTCTCAGTCACCCAACGGGCAGCCGATATTTGCATGTGATTAGTGAACGTTCCATTATTTACCCTAAACCCACTTCACCTCTGGGTGCGACCTTCGCCACTCTGCTGTCTGGGGGGGTGGCTTTGGCCCCAAAATGTTGGGTTTTTTTCCAGGACTAATCCCTGGAATGTCCTTTCTGCGAGATTCCCACGGCACTTCTCCCACCCGCGAGCGTGACGGGCGGCCCTTTATTTATTTTCTGGCTGCCTTTCCAGCCCTGCAAATGCCCGTGGCTCGGGGTGACACTGTCCAGATCTCCGGCAGCAGCGTCCCCGCACC